ACACGTTTTCAAGTGAGCCAGTTACTTAGGTACAGTAATACTGAATATTGTTCGTATAATTTGTAAGAACGGTGCCACGTATTTCCCTTGGCACTACTTTCTCCATTTTCGATCTGGTGGTCGTGATTACCCAATTTACTCGCCACTATAATTTTTATTGTAACTTCTGATATTAGGCCATATTTGGATAAACTGTCCACTGTACGTTGTTGTTTACTTTCAAGACAACAGTTTACCAGTATAAAAGTTCATAGGAGGACTTGACAATTATATATATATTGATTCAAGTTTCTTCCGTCACTTTTCTCATGAAAAGAGGTATTGATTTCAAAGCTGTGTCTGAAAACATGAGAGACTTTGTCAAAAACAAATTATTGTTAATTATTTTGTTGTTAAAAGTACCAGAAAATATGCAAAGTTTCATCGTAGTGGCTTTTTTTTGGGGGGGGGGGGGTGAGATAGTTTTCTTTCGTCACCACAGGTTTTAACTTTTCGTTGCTCTTGATTGGCTTGAAATGCAGTTTTAGAGTCCTAAGCAATCTGCTGTTAAAGTTTTTGTGCTTCCATAGAGAACAGCGAAGACTCTTTTCTTTGAAATTTATTTTGTTATGTTTTACCTAAATCGTTTGATAATTACGCTTCGATCACATAGACATTCAGACTAAGTAATACCGTGGTGTCATTGCATTATGAAATAGACGGAAATTTGCCCTGAACTTAATATATAGGAGACAAACATGTCATCCGTGACGTCACGACTACTTTCTGTAGCAACACACTATTATAATATATCACTAAATCACGTTTAATAGAGTGTAATTAAAACTAAGAAAATATCTGAGAGTAAAAGTTTTTATCTTAAAAGAAGTGTGTAAGATGGTGGAACTTGTAACCAAAGAAGTGTGTAAGATGGTGGAACTTGTAACCAAAGTAGTGTGTAAGATGGTGGAACTTGTAACCAAAGTAGTGTGTAAGATGGTGGAACATGTAACCATGCACAAACACATAAATCGTGAGTGTACTTCGTACATATTCTGTGCTCATTTAACTTACATTCGAGTTTTTTTCTCGTGATACAATATACAGAAATTACGTACTCTAAAAATACAATCGTATATGTTTTATTTCTGGTTTTTACTACATATAGAAAACTTAATAAATAAAAGTGTACAAGAAGTTCAACCTTTCAGAACATTTAGCGGTGTTTATATAAACTCTAAGGAAGACCCTATAATTATTACCGTAGTTTTGTTACAATACTGATTTATTTTCCAGAAATACATAATGTTACCGCTAAGTCTTTTAATTTACCATTATTTGCAGGGTTATTGCACTGAGCTAAACTGATGTATCTAGATATCCTTATAAACACCTGTATTTTATTTGTCGAATAAACTACCCGTTGCTTTATCACAAATCTTTATTTAGTCATATTAACAGTATACATCTGCAACTTGCTCAGTCAAGATAACCCTTTTTTATGGAATACTGTTTACTAAGCAACAGAAATCAAATGTTCGTTACAGTAACTAATTGAAATTTTACTACTCTTGTTGTGAGCTTATTAAATCCTATTCAGTTTGTTTTTGGTCATGAATTTCAACAAGTTCATTCGAACATACGTTTTCTTACTTTCTTTTTTTCTAGGATTACAATAGGTTAGTTATTCTATTTCTTTTTTAACACCATACCTAACGGGACGTAAAGTGTTTAATGTAGATAATTAAAAACCAAGGCATTATTGTTACGCATTATCGTGTATACGTCTGATTAGAATTGTAAAAATGGTCACTAACACATCATTCTCTTTCTTAGCTAACATTTTTAATGAAAACGCTTAAAAGAAAGAAGTTGCCACTACGCTTTCACATTTCTTGTTCTGTTTTCAGGCCATAAGGTATTAGAGCTATACTTTTTCTTTTGTCGAAATTCCCCCAACCATTTCGACTGCTATAACATTGGCCTTTATTACACTAAATGAAAAGAGAGAAAACGGTATCTATCAGACCAAAGTGGCCTTACAAAACTTAACGGTATTGGTTATTTCTTAAAAGTCAAGAAACATTGAAACATGTTATAACATTTGGTAAAAGACACAAATCTTATAAAACAAGGTGCAATTATCTACATAAAGCTAATAGCAAAGCATGTTTTATTAATTGACATTACAGAATACCAATTAAGTTACTATAATTTTAATTAGGTTGAGAACAAATGAAACCATTTATAATGCACTATAGAAGATGAAATATATATATATATATATATAGTTCTTTCTTTCAAACATGACACAATAAACTATTAAAGTGTGTCGATGGGTCCTGGCACGGTCTAGTGGTTTGGGCGCTTGACTCGCAATTTGCAGGTCGCGAGTTCGAACCCCCATCACTGAACTTGCCCACTTTTTCAGCCGTGGGGGGTGTTATGATATGACGGTCAATCTCAAGAATTGGCAGTTCTTTGATAATAAAGTTTTCCAAGAGTTAGCGTTGGGTAGTGTCGACTAACTACCTTTCCTTACTACTGCTAAATTAGGGACGGCTAGCGAAGATAGCCTTCGAGTTGCTCTGCGCGAAATTCAAAACAAACCGACCTCTGTCGGACAAATTCGATAAGTGACAGAATGATTAGAATACTATTGCAAAATGTCTTATAGTCGAGTTATTTTACTACTTTTAAGTTGAATCAAGCTTTAGTTTTTGTCTAGAACCTGTTTATTATATCCAAATATGATCGTTTCATCTCAGTTTTTCAGGGTTTATTTACGAAAACAAGTTTGACTGTGTTTATTCAACTTTCTGCTTCAGCTTTATGAGAAAACAAACCAAAGCCAATATTAATAATAGAATAACTGATACTTCATTGATTATGTCAGCTGGCAGTGATGAGATTATTGATAAAAAAAAAAGTCGTGTTTATATTCATTACGACACTTTTGCTTTATTTCTTTTCAGAATAGCGCTATTTGAAGTTTCAGTGACTTATATTTAGGCGATATATTTTACAAAGTTCAAATGTTGTAAATATTTTCGGTATTCGAATACCCAGATAGTTTACATACGATACAAAATTCTTGAGAAAATTAACTTGAAAAACACTTAAATCTTTCAATTTAAAACGGAAGTAGAAATTTAAAGGATAATTACCTGTACCAGTTTAGATACAACAACACATTAAAGACTTACAATAAACATGGCCCGGCATGGCCAGGTGGTTAGGGTACTCGACTCGCAATCTGCGGGTCGTGGGTTCGAATCCCCGTCACACCAAACATGCTCGCCCTTTCAGCCGTAGGGGCGTTATAATGTGACGGTCAATCCCACTATTCGTTGGTAAAAGAGTAGCCCAAGAGTTGGCGGTGGGTGGTGATGACTAGCTGCCTTCCCTCTAGTCTTACACTGCTAAATTAGGGACGGCTAGCGCAGATAGCCCTCGTGTAGCTTTGCGCGAAATTCAAAACAAACAAACAAACAATTACAGCAAACCCGGCCCGTACCAGGTTAGAAACAACAACATATTAAAGACTTACAACAACCTCTGCCAGAACCAGGTTATTTTGATTACTTGTTAGTTCGTTGTTAAGCACAAATCTACACTATGAGCTATTTGTGCTGTGCCCACCATGTGTATCGAAACCTGATTTTAGCGTCCTAAGCCGAGGGAATTGTCGCTGAGCTACTGGAGGTTATTTTGATTAAACAGTGATTCTTATATAAAAAAAGACTAAGTTTCATTACAAATACAACAAAAAACCGACTTATTTCTGTGACATACTTTAATATATTTGCAATAGTCTGATAAATCAAAACGTTTTTCTTTTCTTAACATGTCTGTTAGTTATCTGTGAATTCTAAAAAAATTCTGTTGATAGTTGGGGCTGGCGTGGCCTATCCGCAGTGTGTTGAAGCTGTGAATCCGAGGATTCATAATTCGCGTGTCGTTGCTGCAAAACCGCGTTTCGCATTTTGGGGCCGTGGGTGCGTTATAAAAGTAACGGTCAAATTCCAGTATTCTAGTACAGTAAACAAAGAGTTGGAGGTGAGTGTTGTTGAATAGCTGCTTTCCTTCTAGTCTATCAGCTGAAAATAAAGGAGCTCGATAAACATAAAACTAAACTAAGCGAGACCTGTGGGAATACAGGTTCGCTTACATGAACGAATTTACTGGTTTGTAAATCCCTTCAAAATACAATTTTTATCTAGGCGCCTCAAGTGTTTACTTGGAGCATCGAAAATATGCATCCGAGTTCACGGAAATTATACATGAAGGTGCAATTATCGACCAAGATTTTGTAAGTTTACAACAGACGTTACATTTTATTATTATATTAGATGTCCGTATTTCACTATATATCTCACGACAGTCTTCTCTAAATTCAGAAGTTATTTTCTAAACATTTTATTTTGTTATCAAATCTAATCAATCTTTTATTTTCTGTAATTAATCCATGTAAATTTGATGAATATCCTTTTCAGTTTAGGTATATATTTTTATGTGAAGTGCTATTAATTACTTAACTTATATTAAACTTCAATAACTAGTAATTCATTTTTATTTTTGGTTACGTTCAAGTGAAAATCTTAGATAACATATCGGATTTAGGCTGGAAAATAATATACCAAATCCAGACATGTACAAAATCTATTCTGAAGATATTAGGATGCACGGGTGTTAACTGATAGAAAATCCTATCAAGTGGCTTCAACTTTCACGAATCTGTCCCTGTGACGATTAGTAGTTGTTCGTTATTGTTGTCAGTGCTAGAGCATGAAGGGAATTACTAGTGGGCCATGTAACGTCTGGTCCGCGTAATAAAATCAACCCATACCAATCACGGCAACCTAACTGTTGTATTACCCTACCTTCATTGTGCATGCGCAAGACCGATTGGATTACCACGTTGCTATGCGCGAAAATGCTCAAAGAATCGCACACTGTCAGAATAAAGGACCCGTTCGGCAGCATACGTCCACCCGCTAGATTTCAAAGGTAGCCAGTAATGCTCACGCTAGATGGGAGATTTGGTTTTATTTGTGTGAGGATATAAGTGTGAACGATTGATAACTCGCTTAGTCCTTCTGTAAAATAATGTTCCTCTTTTCTCCCACATTCATCTTATTGACCTTGGCTACAATCCTACTGAACAGTTCAGGTAAGATATTTTTTCTTGTTTTTGGACGTTTATCAAGTGTTGATACTGTTTCGAAACGATATCATTTACTATTTAATCAGACTTCTATGTTTCATTTTACTGGACCTAAATGATTTAAAACCTGAAATTATTTCGTCTCCAGCTGAAAACAACTTAAATATAGAGAGATAATACCAGAAAAAAGAAGATAACAGTTAAAGATATGTAACTTTAATGTTGTCATACATTCAAGTGAAGTAGAAACTTCAAAATAATAGAAAAAAAGAGGCTGTAATATGTATTTGTCGTTTTAAATCTCAATATAGGAAACCCAGAAAGAGTGGTAAACTTCCTGATGTTGTTTTTATGAAAAACACATAAATGTCGTCATTTTTATTGCAAATTATATATATATAAGATTCAGGTGCTACCACTTTCACAAACAAAATGTCATAAAATAAAGTGGTGAATATAAACGAACATTACTTAAGATGTTTTTTTTCTCCGTTATAATACATTTTTCCTTTTTTATTTTCACGTTCTTTTATTGGTTACAGCAAATGACGTGGTTTCATGCCTGTTTATTGACACTGACAAGTGAAGAGCATTTGAAAATTAGTACTTCAGAGGGTAGATAATGAAAAGAAAATTTAACTATTCCAACTGAAAAAAAAAAAGAATAATTTGGAATATTTCATAGTATAATCATAAAAAAATGTTACACAGTTAACCAAACTACAACTGGATCCTCACAATATTTGAAAATAGCTTTCAAAACGGAACGAAATATATGAATGAGGCACAAAAGACAAGTATGAATTATGTCTATGTGTGAAAACAATGTTGTGCCAAAATTTTCCCAGCTAACTAAATTTCTGTCTGTCAAATATAAATCACGTAAAAGTCGGTAAAATGAATTAGGTGACAGCATTGTACAGATAGATATAAAAATTACATCACATAAGAAAACAATTTCTGTATTAATTCGTCCTATCTACACTAGTTTAACGGCAGGTTTGGGTGTTTATAATGCAAAAATTTGTGGTTCGATCGCTACTGTGAACACTGTGGTGATGGCAGCAGCTCTGCTCTTAAACGAAACAAAACAAAACAATTACATACTCTTTCTCAAAAGTAAAATAATTATTACTGTTTGCATTCATAAATAGCTTATCAACTTCTAATAATAATGATATTCTTTCCATTTTACTAAACAAATGATATGGTATGTCCATAGAGATTTACAATACTAATAAACGAGCAAAGTTCTAATAAATATTTGTGACTTATAATATTTCAGATTGTACAAATATTTTCAATTCTTATTTATTTCTAATCTAATACTCACTTATTTAAGGAAAAACCTGTGGCTTATTAGTTAACATTTTATTTAACATGTCACACACACACAGATATATATCTATACACATTTACTATACTGAACATTTACTTGGTTTTTTAATATGCAACAAGTAAATGTTTTCTCAAAATATCGGTTTAAAAACAGTTTTTACTTATTATTACAAGAATATGTTCGAAGTTTTAAACCAGCAAGAAAAACAGGAACCTAGAGTAACTATTCTTGTGAATTTTGTTGCTTTCTTCCTCTGTTCTACAAACAAGTAGCTAGTTATCGCAACTGTCCCACAAGGCTTAAGATAGTGATTGAATTCTTAGGGAAAATTATTCCGATACATTTTAATCTTCACTGCTGATTAAACAAACCTTGGAATAAGACCTCTAAGGAAATACTGAGGCTGATGTATATTTTATTTGCCGTTAAGCTTCATCTTTATGTATTTCTCTATGGCAATGTCTAGGAAATCTTCCACATGTAAACATACTAGAATAAAAATAATAACTATATAAACAACCAGTAAGGAAAACCACTTTGATACCACTAAGATATTCCAAGCTCTAGGCTAGAGCAATAACAACTTTTATTTATATTTATTTTATTTTCTATATATAAATGTTTAAGTTCAACCAGTTAGCAGAATAATACCAAGGCGTCGACAATATCTTAATAATACCAAGGCACCGACAATATCTTTATATATATTGACACTTGCTAGGGATGGGCGATAGATGGAACCACTACTCCCTTCAAATTGGAGAATTGTATTTTGGGAAAAGAAATTGAGAATATCAAAGGAATAGCTGGGATATTTTTATACCGTGTATTTTATTTGATGATCACCTATTTTCGTATTAATGAAAAATGACTCCCAAACTTTTTCTTCTATTAATATGAGGATTATTTGAAATGAAATTATTGGCAATAAACGCATGATGTTGGCTATGCAGAAGAAAGAGCAGTTCAAACATCAACAAGGAACCAGTCATTGACGATAACAAATTCTCTTAGAGCAGCAGTTCTCAATGTGTGTCCTCAGGCTCTCTTCAGGTGGTACATAGAAATGCTGCACAAATATGGAAAGGAAGCGGTACATGGAGTATACATCCCATTGTGGTTCGTCAAACCAAAACAAAATCAGATGATTCACGCAGAGACTAGTTTTCTCATACAGATTAACATTTTCCCAGTTACCAAAGTATGTGTAGAAGAAAAGGTAGACTGGTGTTTGTGAAGAATTGGAGAAACACTGTAACTTGTGTTGAGAAAAGGCTTAGACAGAGTAGAGTGTACTTGAAAGGCGTTGTTAGTGGACTGCATCTGTCTAGGAAGTTTTTCTAGGCGACGTTTCGAGCTGATGAAAATCTGCGCTAACATCTGTAAACGTCACCTCCCCACACACAAAAATCCTAGACAGCTGCAGTTCATCAAGAACGCCTTTCAAAATTGCAGTATTTTGCATACCTTTTTCGAAAAGAGTTCCTTTATATTCTAACTAAATTTGATAAATCTGTTGTAACAACTAAGAGAATACAACCATAGAGCGCGAGTGACAGCGTTTTTATGGGTAGTTGTTCATGATTAGAAACGTTGAACAAACATCTCGACCAGTTTTATCTAGAAATGAAGCCTGCCAGCCAGATTTAGTTAAGTTAGGAGTAAAGCTTCTTAGCCAGTTTTAGCTAGGGGTAAAACATCTGATAGCAAATAAATGTACATGTACCTACAGCGAGATAAAAGTTTAAAATTAAAAGGACATGGTTAAAATTTTTTTAAGAGAAAGACAAAAAGGTTTCATCCAAACGATTTTCACCATTCTTGATGAAAATATTTTGATTAAACGATTATCACATGTTTCTCTTTCTCTTATAGAGACTTAATATTTTTCTATTAAAAAACACTTTTAGGGCTTGGTTACGCTGACGTAGTTTGTAAGCTAACGGTAGCAGAGAATTTCATAGCTACAAAGTGAGTTTATCTATATGCGTAAAAATTCTGAAACAAGAACAACAACAGCAACAAAATCATGAAAATCAATTTGTCTAAAAGTTGACTAGCTACTGTCAAACACGTTGAAAGTCTTCTTTCCGGAAGAAGAAGTTTTTATAGTTCTCGAAAATCAAACTCTGTTTCATTTCTATATTTCAAACAGGAGAGAATCAACTACAACCGAGGGTTTGTTTGTTTGTTATGAAATTTGCACAAAGCTACAC